TGGGAAGTGGAACAAAATGTGAAGTTTGAGATAAAACTTAAATCAGAAAAAGAAGCACAAAAAATGTCAGCCATTCTTGAAACCTCAGTTCACGAGATAGATGATAGATAAGTAGAGAGATCTTAAATTTGTAGTTTTGGACTGACTTAGGGATTTCTCTGAACTTTCTCTACTAAACTCATAGCCTGACAAGTAGTGCACCTGCTTAATTGGGCTAAGTGCCAAAAAAGGAGAAAAAATCAGGGAAATTAATTTCCAGGAACACTAGATAAATGGCACACCTCATTAGAAAATCTATTTTAAAAGAACATTCAGGAGATGTCTGAAAGACTTTCATAAGAAGTTGATGCTTCCTATCATCATGTCCTTGCTCTTTCTTCTCAGATTACTGATCTTACTTCCCTTAATAAGATCAAGTTCAAGTTACACTTAATGAATGAGTGCCTTGTATGTGCCAGACATGTATGTTTTATAGAGATTATTTTATTCTAATAATTACAAAACTGTTTTGAAATAAATATACTTAATGAAATGCTTTCAGAAATTACCAAACATGCATTGAGACATCCTGGTACCACCCTATAATCCTTTTCTCTCTTATGATGAGGATGTTAGTAAATTGTGACCCTTGTTCCTACACAAGTAAAGCTTGTGCAATCTATTCCTACCCATTCTGACCTAGAGGAAAACCTTATCATCTTTAATGCTTTAATTTGTATTAGTTTCTTTAGAAATCTTATGTTTGCACTTATTATTTTGAGAGAAACTTGACCCTACATATACCAAGAAAATGTTTATTAAAAATTTCATCCAAAGCTTATAAGTTATCCTCACAGTGTTATAAATTTCAGCCACATCTTTTCTGGCTAAATCTGCAGAAACTTGGGGGTCAGTCTTCCAGCCACCCTTGTGAGCCCTTAACCTCAATTACTAAGAAACAACTTGGTCTGTTCCCCTGGAGTTTTCTGACAGCATTGGCTTTGCAGGACAAAAGTAAAGGCAGTGTAGATATCAGGGTGATCCTACATCTTTTGTTGCTGTTGTCCTGAGGTAAATATTAATAGCTCTCCATTTCACTCCTACAACTACCTTGTTTTGTATAATAAACCATATAGATATCCCACATGAAAGCTTTGCATGTTGCCAGATCGTTAAACTAGGGCTACATTTCCCCAAATTCTCTTAAATGTAAACTTCTTGTTAACAGTTGGTCTTGAAGAGAAATTTGCACAAGCTTTGGAAGGCAGAAATAAAGTAATAATGAAGCTAGTGCTTACTCTCTGAAAGTTGCAGTAGGGCAGGTGTTTTTGCAGCCATGCACATTTTCGCCAACATGCTAGCCCCCTTGTGTAACAAGCTTGCTTCATCTCCTCCAGCTCCTGCTGGACTGTCTCCTTCCCACATCTCCAAATCCTGACCAGGTGCACATGCAGTTTGGTACTGAAGGTAGCCAATTTATCCTGCAACTCACTCACATCATCATAATTTGAGGTAGTGAGAGGCAATCAAGGTTGCAGTTTGCCCTTAGTCTCCCTTATTTTGTGTCCATCTGCCCTTCCCAACTTCCAGCTTGCTGATTTTCCATTCAGCTAGAGACACATTGCCAACAGCCTTACAGAAACTACTTAATCAGCTCCCATAAATTCATGAGCCACCCAATAAATCCCCTTATGTATCACTCAGAGTGATTCTGCTATTCTTATCAAACACTGGCAGATAAAATCTCCTTCCACTCCGTTTGCTGTCTTAAAATTTGTCTTCTTGTTAAGAGGAATCAAAGTCACAAATTTGGCAGAATAGAAACTAAGGTGTTAGCCACATTTCATGGACAAGGAAATACAAATTCCTAGTCATGTTAGCTTGCAAGTTATTTATTTGCATGTGTTCCACAAGTAGGTAATATATGAGTAAAGTAGATCAAATTCTGAAAACAGGAATTCTGAAGGTTGCTGAGAGGTGAATCATTCTTTTCAACCAGGACAGTTTGTGCTTATGGAAATAAATTTTCATTTCTCTAGGAACAATTTTTAATGGCTTCAAGGATTTTTTTCTACTTTCTAAAGATTCAGAGAGGAATTTCAGATACAGTGATAACTGCCCTAACTCCCTCGCCTTCAACATCACCTCCAGCATTCTTTCTTCTACTGCTAGCCTTGTTTTTAAATCATTTACAATTAAATAGTCAAAGACTATTAGGTAGTACAAAAGACTAATGAGGGTGATAATATTAATCCCCAGTAAAAATTTAAATTGTATCTATTAAAATTAACATTAAAAACAGAATATTATTTGCATTATGAAACTCTTATTGAAGCAAACTTTTTTCTGTGCAGAATGGATATATAAAAGGCAGCTGAGAACTTGATAAATGAAAAAATGAATTAGAATTCTAATGTAAGCAAATGTGTCCCATCTACACAAAGATTAATATGAGGTACAGGTTCTTTTGCTGTAATTATACCAAGTCATTTAATTTATTTTCCAGAAATCAATCATTTAAATTTTAATGAGTTAAAGGCAGTTGAATTTCTTACTTGAAGAATTTACATATTTTCTTTTTAAATTTCAAGCTTTGTGATTATTTTTTCATTTCTAATCCATTGGTTCATTGTTATTTTCCTAAATAGCTTCATGATGCCAAACACCCCAATATATAATCTTTTTCTTTGTGCTTGTTATAATTACAATATCTGCCAGCTAGATTATTGCCTGATCCTTCCATATATCTGAATGTTTAATGAAGGGTGTATAATTTGGCAATGTAATATTTTTAGAATGAAATATGCTACAGCCAGACACCAAAATTTCCCCCACTGATCTTTGCCTCCTGGTAACCACACCTGTACAGTCTTTTCCAATTTCAGATTGAGCTGGGTAGCCAATAAGATTTTGCAGAAATGACAATTTGATATTTTCAATTCTAAGTCTAAAAGCAATGTGACTTCTGCTTTGTTCTCTCTTAGATCACTTGCTCTGGGGAAAACCATCTGCCACACTATGAGGACACACAACAGCCATAAAAGTGAAACATCATGTACCTAGTTCCACCATTCACATAAATCTTTCAGTTAACTTTTTCCCAGCCAACCTACAAATAATTCTTTATTAATGGCTAAAAAAGTACCAGTTTCAAAACTAAATCTCCACTCAAGCCTTTTATTTATTATTTTTATGAAGCTGCAACTTAAGACAGGACAATCCAGCTATACTATTTCTAAATTACTGACCTACAAATACTACATGAAAAAGAAATGTTTGTTATTGTTTTAAGACATTTTTGAAGCCATTTATTGAGTAGTAATTAATAACTATAATGATATCTGACAAGTAAATGTTCATCTCATAAACATTTTATATATTCTAATTTCACTAAATTTGCTTTATTGATTTTTAATTAAGATCAAAACCTCAACTAGATGAAATAAAATTTTATAAGTATATCTCTTCATAATGTAAGATATTGTTTCAAACTCAAAATACCAATATTTTTCATTCATATAAGCAATGTGTATCAGAAAGATCTACTATGTGACAAGCATTCATGTACAAAGAGGGATAAAACAGTCCTTTGCTTGGATAAGTTTAGGTTTCTGAGTAAGATAAGCAAGTCAAGAGCTAGGGATGTAACTCAGTGGTAGGGTGTTTGCCTAGAATATGCAAGACTCTGAATTTGATCTCAGAACCACAAAAAAATGAAAGGGAAAAAAAAAAAAGAAAGAGAGAGGGAAGGAGTAAGGAAGGAAGGAAAAAAGAAAAGAGAGAAGGAAGGAAAGGAAGGAAGAAAAGAAAGAAAGAAAGAGAAGGAAGGAAGGAAGGAAAGAAAGAAAGAAGGGAGAGAGGGAGGAAGGGAGAGGGAGAAAGGGAGTCAGGATCAACAGATATTTGTAATACAGTGTGTTAACTGCTCTTAATGCAGGTGCCAACAAGGTACTAAGAAAATGACAGTGTGGTACAGCATATTCTTATATAATTGCATGTGTCACAGAAGAGGGAGCAGATCATAAAGAATGAATTAGCATTCTCAAGATAACAGTGAAGTATGAGTTATCTATTTCTGGTGATAGTGATTTTTATAAAGCATATATGACAAACCAGGTTCTGTCCTAAGTACTTGAAGTATATTCCCTTACATAATCCTCATGACAATCCTATCACATAGGTACTATTAGAAGTCCTACTTTATAAGTGATGAAAATGAGGCAGGAGAGGATAAATCCCCTTCCTAATACCAAAGAGTTAGCAAGTAGTAAGGTCTGAATCTAATACCATGGAAATGAAGCACCAGAGTCCCCAGTCTTAGCTATTAACTGTTGATCCTGTTGCTCTTTTGCTGTCCTATGGTCTGGGATGGGGAAATTATGGGAGCAGAGGTAAAAAACAAGTGAAAGCTAATGTTTTCTTAGGGAAACACAACAAGAAAAAACAAAGTAATAAGGTTGCAAAATGGGATATATATGCTGAATTAAAGATGAAAATGAAGAGCTAAGCCAGGGGAGTTGTTATAGTTAGGCAATAAGAAACATATTACTTGATCAATTGTAGCTTTATGAAGATATCTTTAGGGCAATATTAATGGATAGAGGAGAGATAAAGGATATAAGAAATTGAATTAGTACCCTCAAAAGAGAATGAATGTGTGATTTTCCTGGTTTTATGTTTTCAAGTGCAAAACCTACAAATAATTCTTTATTAATGACTAAAAAAGTACCAGTTCCAAAACTAAATCTCCACTCAGGCCTTTTAATCATTATCTTTATGAAGCTTCAACATTCAGCCTTTTTTTCAGCTCTAAAGATTAGGACATTGATTTCATTTTCAAGTCAGTGAGTTTAGACAAGAAAGAGACTAGAAAGAAAGGAGAAAAAGGAAACTGTCTTCAGAAACCCTCAAGCACATTTGTGGGTGCTTTATTTCTTACTCTAAGAGTGAAGAAAAGCAAAGGTCATACTGGGGAAAATATTATATATTTTAATTGAGAACCCAAATTTCATGAATCTTACCTGAAAAGTTTTTGTAATCCACTAAATCAAACATGACAACAGCAACCGCTGACCATGTGATTATCAGAGCAATGACCAGAAGCCAGGCTGCAGGGGAGCTGAATGTTGTCACTATATCTTCTGTGACTGTCCTCTTTAGCACTTTTCCAGGGGATTTGGGCACAGATCCATTTTTGCTGTCAATAATGGTTGTGGTTGTAGATGCATTTCCTAGTTAAACATTCAGAAAGGAAAGTATAAGTTAGAAATTTCCAAGCTGATCATACTATTTTCTCTAACAGAACACACTTCTTCGTGGCAGGACCATACCACAATCCATTTCCACATTGTCTTTTCCTTAGCATTTGCCCTTCACCCAGAAACCCATATGCTCTTGTAACCAAGTTTCATCCAAGCCACAGAACCTTTCACCATCCTCCATTCATTTTTACTATTCCATTACCACTTCCTACCCAGTATCATCAAGAGCAATGCAGTTTGGAGCCAAGACACCTTTTTAACACCTTTTTTAAAAATGTAGATTCACATATCAATTCTGAATGCAAGCAAAAATAGTTTCCTTTGTAAAAGCGAATGAGAATTAGTGATAAAAAATAGTTCAAATGGATGACATTCTTCATATCCTGGCCCCTCTGTTGATGTCATTAATTTCTTTTCTTTCTTTCTTTCTTTGGCAGTGTAACAAAACTAAAAGAATAATGTTGGAAAATCTTATTATATCAGTAATTTCTTATTCCTGATTTTAAGAATTTACATGTTCATGAGAAAATATGCAAAAACATAAACATAAGAGTACTAAAGCAAATAGATTATTATTTTTAATCTCCCCTGTCAGAAGCAACTTCTGTTAACATATTGTTCTACTTACACTTAATATTTTTATATGTGTATAAACATATAAATGTTTTAGTTTTTAAGGAGTGTTCATCACACTATAATTTATGTTTTTAATTAGGCAACATATAAAAAATATTCCAAATATCAGCATGAGTGAATGAATTCTTTAAACTATGCATATAGTTTGGCAGGGGCAGTACTGGAGTTGGAGGCAGTACTCACTACCTCATGTTTGCTACTCAGGTGCACTTAAGCCACACCCCACCCCAAAAGTATAACCCAGGCTGGTCTCATGATCCTCCTGCCTCATCCTCTTTGCCTCATTGATTACTGGCATGCACCACCATGACCAGCAAATTCTTTGAACTAGAAATATAAAGTTTAAACCATCCAAACAGGTCCACACAGCACACTTACAGATAAATCTAGTTCAGAAGGCAAATTTCAGGTTCCAGGGAAAGAAATAAAAATATTGCATGCAAAATTAATTACTGTAGTTAATTAAGTCTTACTTTTTTCATGTCTTTCACCATAAAATGGTACTGTTCTTTTTCAAAAACAAGATGGCATAAAGTTCTTTGACTTACCAGAGGAAAGAAAATCAGGTATGAATTAGCAGGTAATAACAACCAAATACAAATAATACCAGTATTTAAGGTAAAATTGATAAATCTAGTCCCATGCTTTCAAAAGATTAAAACACTTGTGTAGAACATCAGTTCCAAAAGTAATTAACCAAGATTTTTAAATGACATTAAATAGAAATTAACAATAATGACAACAGATTTCTTTTTTCTTCTAAAAATGGTACATAGGAATACATATCCCAAGTTCATGAACTCAATTTAGGGGAAATGATAGAAAGACAGAATGATACTTTAAAATAATAGATTTCATAGACTATGCTGGAAGTGGTGCTCAAAGAAAGAAAAATTAGAAAGAACTCATATGATATCCTCCCATTGATTTTGTATCAAATTCCCATCACTTCCAACGGTAGGTCTGAGATGGATAAATGATTGGAGTGCCTTGAAATGAGATTTAAGACCCAAGTGGGGCTACAAGTGAATCAAACCCTCAGAATAATGACTTTCAGAAGAGTAAATGAATTATGAGTATTTAGGAGAGTCCTACCTGAAAGCTGATATGTTGCTAATCTCTCGTTTTTCGATCTTTGGAAGGCTTTCTATTGCCACTTAGCAGAGAATTTCTGAGGAATTGTTTCTGCACTTCAGATTCACTTCAGTGAGTTGGGTATATTAGGGTGTTAGACATGCCATACACAGCTGCTCAATATTTTGAAACTGAAAGTGTAAGTTCACTAAGATTTGACACAAATTAGTTGAATTCTACTCACATTTTTAAAAGGCAGAAAATTTTAAAAGAAACGTAAATATCTGTATTTATGCTTTTATTTCTTTAGATCAAGGACATTAGAAAGTATAAATTTAGGATGTATTTCAAGTTCAAAGCTAAAATATAAATTTTTATAAAGAACTGACCAAATGTGAATTTGAGGTTTTATTTAATTAATGATTCTACCAAAACAATTATGCTATGATTTTTCAATAGATGAAAATAATAACATTCATTGTCCTGTTTTTGCCTTCACATCCTCAAAATTTCCACTTAATAACTAAAGTTCAAGGATGATGAAAATATATACTAAATATCCAACTATAAAACAATAAATGATTGGAAAGTAATCTATCAGTTATCTTGCTTTGAAATTTTTATTTTCCCTCTGTTATGAAGCACACTGACTTGTACCTTTCATTTTCCATTCAAATTTACTGCAGAAGCCACACTGAACCAAGAGGAATAAAATTGAGGTGGAATAAATTGCTTTCTCTGACAGCTGGTCAAGATAAATGCAAAGAACAGAGTGTGTAATCTGAGATTATTTAATGTTTGAGAAGCACTTTAAAGATGACAAGAGCTAGTTATTGATATGGTAGAAAAAAATGAGAGGTAAATATTACTGGGCAATTTGACATGGGCTACACTTCTTGAAAGTTGGCATTTCAGAATTGGAGCCAGAACAAAACAGCAAGAATATATGATAGTACTTTCCATACCCTTTTTAAAAATTCTATTCCTTCTGATTCTATTCAAATTATTTTGATTACCAGACAGATGGAATCAGGTTCAAAAGAAGTTGGGACCTGATTGAATGGCCCCTCATAAAACAAAATGAGGGACTACTTATAAAATGGTTCCATAGAGTGACTTCACAGTCAGGTTATGCACAGAAGAATAAATCACAAGCCTCCTAATAGAAGTCACTTAACCTCATCATGCCTTATTGATCAGATGAAGAAACTGCCAAGTGCACTTAACCATTATTATTCCTATGGGGCATCCATAATACAACCTCTGCCAAGATGCTCTAGGAAGATACCTATATTTTAGAATGGTATCAATAAAATATTGCATCTTTATCGCATGAAAATATTTATTACAAATTTTACTATGTGATATGGTTTGTGCAGTACTCTTACACTCTATTTCTCCTTCAAGAATTAGAGAGCAAAGGAAATAGAGGGAGTAGATAATACTGATGGTGTTATAAAATATGCTATTACCAAACTACAATAAGAACATAATTTCTGATTATATATAAGAATGAGTCTTGTTATATTTGGGGATTCCAAAAACATGTATGTAAATAAGAAGTTTGCAGAAAGTTCATAACAAAGACCACTATGCAAATAAAGTTGAAAAGGGAAAAACTCCAAGGAAATGGGGCCTTTGATATGTAATTAGGTCATGAGGGTGAAGTCCTCACAAATGAAATTATCCTTTCCACTAAGTGAGTTTAGAGTCAAATGAAACAGTCCACACGAAGCAGGCCCTCATCAAATGAAGAATCTGCCTGATTTTGAATTTTCCAACCTTCCAGAACCATGGCAAATAAATTTTTGTTGTTTTTAAGCCACTTCTGTTATGATATTTAGGTACAGCAGTACAAACAAAGACATTGTGATCTACTAGCTTATTTCTCAATAACTCCTTACCATATATAATAAATGTCTTTTCTTGCTTAGTTTCTGTACTTTTTGAACTTTTTTCAACTTAATAGTTACTCATCATGCAGAATATTAGTTTTTCTACAAATAAATTTAAAGATGAAAAGCTGTGAGTGAATAATTTGTATTTCGAAGGAAGAAGGTCAGCCCTTTAACTATATTTTCTTGATCTTTTCACATGAATCCTATCCTTATCTGTAAGCATCTTTAAATAAATAAAATGAAGTGGGTAAAATTATGACTTTTTAAATAACTCTTCTTTGACAAGGTTCTCCACTGGTAGAAAATTATCTTTTCACAGTACTTAGAGCAACACTTTTTTACAAAGTAGACCACAATAAGGGTTTGTTGAACATAAAGAATAGCATATGTGTTGCTAAGAGAAATTAATTTTTAAAAAAAGTAGCATGTTAACCTCAACATTTCTACAGATAGGAAGTTGTGCAGTCTATAGTGGCTTCTAGCCAGACCAGTAAAGGAAATAACAAATAAAATACTTTTTATGACATGAGAAAGTATTAAGATAAGAGATATACTACTGATAGAAGTAAAAACATATATGTTCACTTCTATCTCAGAAGATCTGGGAATTTCAGGTGGTCAAAATAAGGCTACTATGAGGGGTTGGGGTTTAGCTCAGTGGTAAAGCACTTGCCTATCATGAGCAAAGTCCTGGGTTTAATCCCCAGCACTGGAAAAAAAATAAACAAAGAAGATATACAAAATTTTCAGCTAACAAAAAGCAGGTATTTACCAAATAATGTCAATGATTAAGTAGAGATACTATTGCCTAATGAGTCAATGAAACTAACATCCTAATGCTGTTAAGGTTTTTAAATATCCAAAGGGATAGTAGCTGGGAAAAGTTTCCAAAAACAGAGTAAATGTATATGTGAATAAAAATGTTAATGATCAGTTTACAAATTTGTGATGATTCAGCTTGGATGTTAACCGGCTTGAGCTGCCACATCAAAATACCATAGACTTAAACATACAAGAATATTTTCTCACAGTTCTGGAGTCTTGGAGTCTGGGTGCCAGCAGGGATATGTTATGTTAAGGGATCATCTCTTGATGACTTATGAGAACACAGTCATCAACACAGTCATCTGTATTCTCATATAGCAGAAAGTGAGAAAGCTAATGTCTGATGTCTATTGGTGTAAAGGCAATAATACCATCATAAGTTTCCCACCACCATAATTTCATCTAAACCTCATCACGTCTCAAAGGCTCCATCTCCAAATACCATCATGACTTGAGGATTAGGATTTCAAAATATGGTTTCTAGGGGAGAGATATTATTCAGTTCATAGTATGTATCTTTCCTTTGATAAGTTTTTA